AACAGGAAGAAACCTCCAGCAGAACCAGGCTCAGTGTGAGCGGCCATCTGCCGAGGCCGACTGGGGTTCAATATAACATATTATACAAATCATCACAATAAAATTAATGTATTAATGGAGCAGAATAATACAGATGTACCAAAAGTGTTAAATTGATGATGTACATGTAATATACATGGATTTATGACATTGCTGTGGTAATTGTTTACATAAAGACTGAATTACAAGTACATGTTTAAATAAAAATATTTCAATGTTTTTCTATTTGCATAATATGCATGATGCCATATTCTTTATGCAGTATATATGTATACATATGTATATATACATATATATGTATATATATTTATATACATGTATATATACATATATATGTGTGTATATATATATATATATATGTGTGTATATACACAGCTGGAGAGACAGGCTGAAACGGCGTAAAGACAGATGAGCAGCAATTTACTACGGAGGGACTCATAATACAAGCTGATATATCCGCCCTGATAGTATCCATCTTTTTGATAAAAAATTAAAGGGATTTACTACAAGTTTTGTCCGTCATTTCCAGTGAAGTGGACGGAATAGGATTAAAAACAGAGTCAATCGTTTTAAAAAGAATCAGAGGCTTGCTCAGATTATTTAAGATTAGATCAGAAAAATACTTGTTTCTCTCAACCCTAACCACCCTCTGGTACTTTTTACAGCTCTCTTTAAGAATCTGGTACGAGACCTCCAGACGGTCTTACTGCCACTTTCGCTCCGCCTTCCTAAAGTTGCAAAAACTTATGTTTCTAAAACTTATTTTTTAGCTTTCCAGAGGTTTATATCCATCTCCTCTGTCTTTGATAGAAGGGATGTTTAAATTGTACCCATGGGGTCATCGACAGCTGGAGGCTTTTCCCATCAACCGGCTCCTCTTCAAACTCAAATAAATCCTTTTTTATGGTGTCATCTTTGTTGGAATTTGCACTAGATTTTCACCATAACATCCCCATAGCAGGATGATGCCACCATGCTTTTTTCCAGGCTTGGAAACTTCCCCCCTTTTTTCTCTGATTCTAACGACTGCCTCCAAGGCCAAACAGCCCAATTTTGGTTTTCTCTTATTTTATTTGTTTTATTTTGTTATAACAGCTTGTTCCTCCCTGAGTGGAGGAAGAAGCAGGACCTTCAGCTATAAGGTCATTAGCTTCTATTCTGGGTTTGATTCACACATTAAGCTCCAAAATCCTTTTAATTTCTCTGCCCTTGAAGCAAACATGCTGTTTAGACCTCAGTGTAGCTGTTTGACCCTATCAACTTTAATATTTGCAAACCTCAGAGTTTGAAATCCTCAGTAAAGTCCAGAAACAGTCGCCCTGCTGATGATCTAATGAACAGAAAATATTCCTGATAAAATCAGAGGGAGATATTTAGGAGGTGATAAAACTGTAAAAACACATCAGACCAGAATAACGTCCCCTTATGTCACTTGTTCACAGCAATATGTTTGTTTGGAGTTAATGAAAACTACCAAAAACAATGAAATATGTCTGAGAAAACAGAAGCAGTGGTGAAAAAGCGCCTTCTTTTTTGGTAGGAGGTGCAGGCATGCACCGTCAACATGTGGATGACCACAGACGGCTCCAACCATCCGGATAACAGGACTAAGAACAGATACAACAACATCTTGGCTTGTGAGTACAGCTCATTTAAAATGACAGGACTAAAACCTGCAGATAAAAATGATTTTTATATTCCTGTTTTTTCTTCTTTGACGTTCAGACGACCACAGCCGAGTCCAACTCTCCCCACAAGTCAACAAAGACGGGAAATCCTCGGATTACATCAACGCCAACTATGTAGACGTAGGAGAAACAGTCTGAAAACATCACACTTCACCTTCATTCTGTTTATTTCAGTCAAGCTACTGCAGAAAAATAACACTGCTTTTGTCAGTCAGAGTTTATGTTTTTTAATTTTTTCTTTGGTTAATGCAGAACGTTGAAACCACATGTTAATGTAAAAGTTTAAAGCAATTGCTGCATTAACTCCTCCTGGCCAGTAGGTGGCATACTCTCGTTTCATACTGCTAGCCAGGCCTGCCAATGCTAGTGCTAAGCTTTGGTTAGCTGGTATTGTAACTAGAAGTAAATATCTATGTTTCTCTTGGTGCTCTGTGGATGTAATATGAACCATTTTGATGAAAAGTTTTAACGCTAACCTTTGACTGTGTTACAATTGTTTATTGATTGATTGACTTTATTGATCTCACAGAGGAGAAATTTACACGTTACATCGGCTAAAATAGTCAAAAAGAGAAGAAGAAGGAGAAAAGGTGCATGGGATGTAAAATAGTAATTGCAAATTCTCCATTGCAGCAGTTATTGTGGTTGTAGCGTCTCATTGTAGAGTCTGGTTGCAGCAGGGATGAATGACCTGCGGTAGCGCTGCTTTTTCCAACCAGGCTGTAAAAGTCTTTGACTAAAGGAGCTGCTCAGCTCCTCTCCAGTCTGCTGCAGAGGGTGGAAGGTGGTGTCCATGATGGATGGAAGCTTGGACAGCACCCTCCTCTCAGAGTGCAGCCTGGGACAGAAACATATTTTCTCACCAGTTTGTTCTGTCTCTTTCTGTCCCGCTCTGTGTTGCCAGGGTAGAGGAGGGCTGATGCCCCCACAGAGTCAGAGAAGGTTTGAAGCAGGAGCCTGATCACTGCGAAGGACCTCAGCCTCCTCAGGAGGTAGAGGGAGGCGGCTCTGGCCCTTCTTATACAGGGCGTCGCTGTTATGAGTCCAGTCCAGTTTATTATTGACGTGAACACCCAGAGATTTGAAACTGTTTCTATGTCCTGCCCTGGATGTTTATGGGGGAGTGAGGTGGGGTCTTCTCCTGAAGTCCATCTCCTCGGTCTTAGTGGTGTTCAGACACAGGTGGCTCTTCTCACACCAGTCCACAAAGTTCATGATGACCGATTGATACTCCAGCTCCTTCTCCTGAGAAACACAGCCTTCAATGGCCGAGTCATCAGAGACCTTCTGGAGATGGCAGCTGTCTGTGTTGTAGGTGAAGTTGAGCTGCTCTCATGTGGAAACAACAGGTTTGGAGTTGCAGAAAAAGGGGTCCAACCCGGCATCAAAAAGTACAGAAAGTAAAAGGACTGCTGTTAGGCCACTAATGAAACTCAGTCCAGCTCCTTTTATTCCAGGGAGGATCCACATTTAAAAATGAATAGAAATAGATTATTATCCTTTCAATCTAGGAAATTCTTTCAAATTTCCTTTATCTATTCTGATTTGCTGCTTTTTGGAGCCTCTCTCTGTTTTTCCTCCAAAAACAGGTAATTATTGATCAGGTCAGCTGGTCTCTCAGGCACCTGTCCCCCCAGGTAGGTTATTATTCTCCGTCACTCCTGGACTGTTTGCTTTGGAACAAAGTTCGTTTTTCTTTGTCCAGTTCAGTTCAGGTTCACCAGCCTGGTTTTTTAGGAAGCTCCAGCTTTTAAACTCACTGGACTCACTTCCTGTGACACAAAGGGGCCCACTCCCAAACAGGCCCCTAAACATGAATCCTTCATTCCCATGGAGGCTCCCCCACATTAAGGGCCGTCCCAAACCACATAGTGGGTAGAGCCATTGAACCGTTCAACTGTTGAATAATTGCTGAGTTTGAATCCGGCGGCTGCTTCCTCCAAAGATTCGTTGGCTGATGACTTCATAGCGTGGCACCGAGGTCTGTTCGGATTGGAAGACTCCTTGTTATGCGGCCGATAAATGCTGCCTTGTTTTTGCCTTTTTTGAAGGACGGGTCCGCTGCATCCTCCATAGTCTTGGGTATCCCATGATTCTTTGTGAGTTTGAGCAAGCCAGCTGCTCCGTGCTCAGAGGTAAAAAGGAAATGGCCCCGAACAGTGATGAATATTGGAAGTTTAGTTTAATATAATCCAAGGATGTGAATAGTTCCATCTGAAATGAATGAAAATAGTTGTTTTGCTGGTTATTGAGTCAGATATGTGGCGGTAATGTTTGATTTATTGAAAGGTTTTATCTGTGTCTGATGTTTAGGCTCAGATTCCAATATCTCTGCAGTGTGGGGACAATAAATCTGATATCTGAGACGACGGTACTGCAGCTGAAGCTCCTTAGGAATGTCATTAGCAGCCACAACAGCAGAGAGAAGTTCAGCATCCATTCTTTGCCTGCTTTGAGTGTCAACTCTAACAGTTGCTAGGCGACAGACTGTACAGGGTTGAAAGTCGGAGAAGGCTGGACCTGTTTGAATCCATAACCAAACTCTTCCGGCCTCCTTATTTTTATGGACTTTGAAGGCTTCAGTCCAGGTAGACCAGGTCCTTGGAGGATGCAGCTGTTGAAATCGAACGCACCAATAGTCCCATCAGCGCAGGCTGGAGTTTGGCAGCGGGTGTAACCGTGAGATAAAGGAGGAGGAAACACGTTGCTCCAAATATTGTTTTGCTGCATCTTGGTCACACTGACAAAAAATTACAAGTTAGCTTTATGAAAAAATCCTTAAGGGAAGTTCGTCTTAGAAATAGTTTTATTTGACCTTGTACATTTATTTTACAGACAGGAGCAAATATTTGATTCATGTAACCATTAGAGTTAAAAGACTGAGAATCAGCTGCTGGTTCAGGATGTGACGTAGATTATAGTTAGTTTTTCCTTCCTCAGGGATATAAGAGGCCGCGGTCATACATTGCTGCTCAGGGCCCTCTCAGGTCCAGCACTGAGGACTTCTGGAGGATGATCTGGGAGCAGAATGTCCACGTCATTGTCATGATCACCAACCTGGTGGAAAATGGACGGGTGAGTCATCCAGTCTGCTTCTACGGCAGGAAATACGGTTTTCTACCAAAAAAAAGAGAATCAGATCTGAAACACATGAAAAATAAAAACAGCCGAGTTTTTATCCCTTCTGTATGATGATGCTGCTCTGCTGCGTCTGTTCCTCAGAGGAAGTGTGACCAGTACTGGCCAGAAGAAGCGGAGGAGGAGTACGGGCGCTTTCTAGTGGCAGTAAAGAGCACCAAAGTCCTGGCTTACTACACACAGAGGACCTTCAGCGTGAGGAACACCCTCATTAAAAAGGTCAGCTGCAGGGAGAACTTTCCGACTCCTCTGAGGTTTAAACAAAGTTCTTTATCACCTAAAACGTTTTCCATCGGAGGAAACTGAGGCGCGTTTACAAGACGGCTTTGTAGCAATTCTTCCACTCAGAAGCAGGAGAATCCAGAAAAAAAACTACAGTAACTTTAAACATCAGGAACAATATATATTTTTTATGTGTGTGTGAGCAGCAGAATTACTGAAGTTAACAAACATCTAAAAACTAGAAATCCATATTTGACCCTTTCTAATGGATTACTTTATTTTATTCTTTTATATTTAGGACCTTTGTGTGACAAAGTATTAGGGACAGGCGAGATATTTTTGTTGTTAAATACGAGAATAAAGTCGCAACGTTAGGGGAATAAAGTCACGACGTTAGAAGAATAAAGTCGCAACGTTAGGAGATCAAATTTGCAACATCAGGAGTATAAAGTCGCAACGTTAGGAGAATAAAGTCACAACGTTAGGGGAATAAAGTCACGATGTTAGAAGGATAAAGTCGCAACATTAGGAGTATAAAGTCACAACGTTAGGGGAATAAAGTNTAAAGTCGCAACATTAGGAGTATAAAGTCACAACGTTAGGGGAATAAAGTCACGATGTTAGAAGGATAAAGTCGCAACATTAGGAGTATAAAGTCGCAATGTTAGGAGAATAAAGTCGCAATGTTAGGATAATAAAGTCGCAACATTAGGAGATCAAATTCGCAACATTAGGAGTGTAAAGTCGCAACGTTAGGAAATCAAATTTGCAACATTAGGTGTATAAAGTCGCAATGTTAGGAGAATAAAGTTGCAATTTTAGGAAAATAAAGTTGCAACGTTATGGGGAATAAAGTCACAACGTTGGGAGAATAAAGTCGCAACATTAGAAGAATAAAGTCGCAACGTTAGGAGAATAAAGTCGCAACGTTAGGAGAATAAAGTCACAACGTTAGGGGAATAAAGTCACAACGTTAGGGAATAAAGTCACAACGTTAGGGGAATAAAGTCACGATGTTAGAAGAATAAAGTCGCAACATTAGGAGTATAAAGTCGCAACGTTAGGAAAATAAAGTCGCAATGTTAAGATAATAAAGTCGCAACATTAGGAGATCAAATTCGCAACATTAGGAGTATAAAGTCGCAACGTTAGGAAATCAAATTTGCAACATTAGGTGTATAAAGTCACAATGTTAGGAGAATAAAGTCGCAATGTTAGGAAAATAAAGTCGCAACGTTATGGGGAATAAAGTCGCAACGTTAGAAGAATAAAGTCGCAACGTTAGGAGATTGAATTCGCAACATTTGGAGTATAAAGTTGCAACATGGACCCAGGTTGCTTGTTTGGTGGTGCTGGTCGGCCGTCATTGGAACATTCTTTCTGAAATTGGTCCTGTTATGATGTCTTAATTCTCAGAATTTTTCAACTTTATTCTCGTAATGTTGTGATTTTATTCAAGTAATATTATGACTTTATTCTGGTATTTAAAACAAAAAAAATCTCTAGGGGGCCCTAATACTCACTCGTACCTTTTGGCCTAAACTTCCTGTATTGCAGACAGTCTGCGCCGCTAATAACTTCCTCATGTGTGTTTGTCCTGCAGAGCTCAAAGAAAGGTTGGAACAACGAGCGAACAGTGACACAGTACCAGTACACCCAGTGGCCTGATATGGGGGTCCCAGAGTTGTCTCTGCCTCTTCTCAGCTTTGTTCGCAAGTCCTCCAGAGCCAATTCAGAAGAAACGGGTCCTATGGTGGTGCACTGCAGGTCCTATGAAGCCCCTTTATCCTCATCATCGGTGCTGGAAGCTCGGCTGACTGTTTGCTTTGCTCCGCAGCGCCGGGGTCGGCAGGACGGGAACTTACATCGTCCTGGACAGCATGCTGAGGCAGATGGAGGACGAAGGAGCGCTGAACGTTCTGGGCTTCCTGAAGCACATCCGCACTCAGAGGAACCACCTGGTTCAGACTGAGGTCAGAGCGCCACGCCGCCCACACAGAAAGGACTCAGTCGTCCGGTAGATTTGATGCAGCGGCCGCAAAAAAAAAAAAAGAAAAAATAGTATAAGGAAAGAATAATGTTTCTTATTTAGTTACATTGTTTCATTAAGATTGCAGCAATGTTTTATATATTTATATAAAATAATGATGATGCACTGGGAGGTTTGACTAACTGATGTCTATGATGCTATAAAACATCAATGTTTGGTCAGAATCCAGTAACTTTCTCTTTTCTTCTCTCTGACCGATCTAATAATGTTGCGTCTTTTCCTGGCATCAAATTATTGACACATTTAGATAATTGAATTAAAATAAATAGATCTTTGAGGAAACCAGCTTTTGTTGTTTTATCTCAGAAGTAGCTCATAGGGGTCCTTGTTTGCAGGAACAGTATATCTTCATCCATGATGCTTTGGTGGAAGCCATCATGTGCGGAGAGACGGAGGTGGAGGCCGCCCGCCTGCACGGCTACGTGGACGAGCTGCTGACTCCAGGGCCTTCTGGGAGGACGCGCCTCGACAAACAGTTCAGGGTGAGTCGGATTCATGGAGATTAGGGTTATGGCAAAGAGGTCTGAAGATCCTGAGCTCATCATTAAAGATAAATCATCAAAATATCACAGAAAATTGGCAGAAAAGCTGTTCATACGAAGGGTTTGGAGGTGATTATTAAGGTATACATATTTTTTGATGTGTTTTTTCAAATTAACCCTTTATAGGTCGCTCAGTGAAATGCTTTGAAAATCCAAAATTTCAAGCCAATAGTGTTATTAGAATCCAGGAGAAGACCTTATTATCTTTATAACATTAATATATTTGGATATGTTGGTGGCAAAATGAATGTCAATCTAATAACAAGAAACGCCAACTTGCCCGAATATATTAAGAAAAATAACAAAAGTGCTTCTAGAAGAAATTCATGAAAAACACTCATTTCTTTTGGTCCAACATAACCTTAGAGGCATTAATGCTGATACATTTTTTAGCTTATAAACCTAAATATAATCGTTAACTAGGCTTATTGACTTTTTAACTTTTCAATTAGCTTTTGACCTTTTTTTTTCTTGACTTGTTTACTTTTTCCAACTTATATTCCAGTAGGTAATATATCATTGTAGGGCTCAGCTAATTGATCAAATGCCAAAATAACATGTACAGCCATGTAGCAGCATCTTTATTGAATAGTTGGATAAAGATCTCATGCTTCTAGATTTGTGGGGGGGGATGCAAGTGATCAAAAACACTAACTTGCCCTATAAAGGGTTAAATGTAAAAAAAAAAATGTTTAAGTTTTTATATTTAGTATATATACACTCACCGGCCACTTTATTAGGTACCCCATGCTAGTAAC